AAGGTATTCCGCATCTTGCTTGCTGCCAAGTATCTTGGAGTCGGATAGTCTGATTGAGTGAAAACAGGATCAAAAACTCTCTTTTTTGAGAGAGTAAAAATATGGTACCGTTGAAACTGCTCTTGACCCTTTTTGAGCAGTATTCGCTTTACATGGGGCAGAGCCAGTGCTTTTGAAGCAGCAGCCAGGGATTTGAGCTGTGCTTACAGAAACTTGCTACTCAGTCAATAGTTTGGCTCCAAACAAAACCTGCTATTCAACAGCATGTCATAATTTATGCTTGCTGAGTAAATACGAATTTTGCTGTTGCAGACGAATGATTCACTTGGAAGTACGTATAATTGGGCTTATTTTATACCTCTCATTGTTCTTGGTTCATTTTTTATGCTCAACCTTGTGCTCGGTGTCCTCTCTGGGTCAGTTGCTTTTGTGCACCACACTTGTAGAGTTTTTTTTTAAATATGTGATTTCCACCAGCTTGTTTGTAAGATCCTGAAGTACTGCTGTAGTCAGGTTCTTTATGCCAAATAAAAAACGTTGTTGTAACTATTTTCAGAGTAGAGGCTGGTTAAAAAATAGTAATCCTTTCCTTCTTTCATGTTTTTGTTAGTGAAATTATCTCAGTTAGAATTTCAGAACTGTTACTGGTCTTTTTTGACAACACTGGAAATATAAAGAGTCATTCAAAAAATGAGGCCTATTGTTTCCATTTACGGATTCTTTGGTGCGTTCTGGACGTGCTAGTAGGAAAAATTTACAACTCTAGTTGCTTCCTGTTACAGTGAATTTGCAAAAGAGCGAGAAAGGGTTGAAAACCGCCGTGAATTTTTGAAATTACGTAGGCAGCAACAGATTGAACGGGAATTAAACGGCTACTTGGAGTGGATTCTGACTGCTGAAGAAGTGATTCTAAAAGAGGATCGAACAACTGATGAGGAAAAAGCCGCTATCATGGAAGGTTGGTTAGCTTTCCTTATTTTCACTGCACTCTTTCAAAAGCTGATGAAATTCGAAATGTTCTTTGTGTAATGTATAAACTGCAAAAAACGTTGCTTTACAGCACGGCGACGTGCAGCTGCAAAGAAGCTGAAACAGGCGAATAAGCAGCAAAGCACGGAGACTGAAGAGGACATCGAGGAAGAGGAGGAAGAGGAGGAGGAATACATGGATGAAGAGGGCGAAGGTACAATTCATTTCACCTCCTCAATGCACCTAGCAAATCAAGCTGCTGTTATCACCTAAACTTT